TGGCTTGTACCCGTTGAGGAACTTTCCAACTGCCCGGAGCCATCAATCTCCTCGTCCCAGACCTCTTCTTTTCCACCACGAGGTAGGGTATAGGCACCCATCAGGAAGTACCTACAGCTCTTGCCGTCGATGTCGTGTCCTCGACGCAGAGGTCCCGCCAAGTCCACAGACAAGATGTGTGCCTGGGGATGAGCGATGCGCCGATGTGCTCGCCCCTGTGCGGATGCTTCCTGGCATACACGACAGTCATGCTCGGCCCATGACAACTTTCTCACAGCCGTCTTGATACCTCTTGTTTCCAGCAACGCCTTCGCCACAGACCGCATCAGTCCCGGCGCCCATCTCGCAAACTCTTTCGAGCCCTCCACATCTGCTGCAGCTCTGGTCGTACGAGTAGACCTCCTTTCTTTGCTGCTTTGGCTCTCCTCAGGGATCACCAACTCAAGGTCCGTGCCCATCGTCGTAGGTTTCGCGGCCTTTCCTCCGAACACACTCTGAAAGAAGGTGATTTCACTCAGACCCTCCTTCTCTTTCATTGCCTTCCACTGCGGCGTTCGCCACCACGACCAACACTCCGGCATATATTTCTCCGGGCTGGCTGGGTGCTCCACAAGGAAATGGGGTTCTTCACTTCCCTTCCGTAGCGCTGCCTTCTTTGCCGCCAGGTATATGACCATCATTCTCCACATCATCACGTCATCCTCGAACACCGCCTTAGCTTCGTGCTCGGTCAGATCTGCCTTCCCGAACTGCTCCTCCACCGCGGGGCCCCTGGCCTCCTCCAGCCTCCGGCAACGGGTAATGCCTCAACACACTCCTTGTTCGACAGTTTGGTTCTCCAACCACTGCCGCCAGGCGCCCATCCTGTGCTAGCCTCAAGAGCGTGCCGTAGAGCGGGCCCCTCACCATGTCGTGCTCCTTTCCTCTCTGGATATCCACAGGAACCGGTTGTCTCCCCCTAGCTCCTTCACTGCTCGTGATAGAGTGTAACCTTCTTCTGTGCCTGCATAGAGGTGCAACCAAAGGGGATCTCCTCCTTTCTCCAGCAGCCTCCTCCTCCTCCGGTTCCAGGGTAAATGCCGAAGATCCTCCGCAGGCTCCTCCACCAACATGGCCTTCACCTTGTCGGCACCCCCTTGAACACCGGATGAGAGTCCACCAACCGCTGAATGCTCTCCTTCTCGATCAGCGCCTGTACCAGCACTTCACCTTTATCCTTCGCTGTCTTCAGCTCCTCCAGCTCGTCGAGAAGCTTCATCGCCACGGCCCTGCCTACGTACGGGCATTCATCTCTCATGGTCACCCTCAACTTTCCTTTTCGTGGGTGCTCTACTGCACATTCCGCACCAGACCACTCCACCTTGCACCCCAGGGCTTTGATCAGGACCCCCAAGGGAATGATCGGGTCCACGTCCGGATCGTCATGGATGATGATTCCTCCCGGGCTTATTCTCATCCAACGTTCTTCACCTCCGGCAAGCGTTACTCTCACCTCTTCCATAGATTCAAGGTCTTCCGAAGGTTTGCATCCTCGAAGTGGATGAGTGGCCCCTGAGTCCAGCAGTCCTCCAACGGCTCGGCTCAAACTTGACACCTGGGCCTGATTCAGCTTTGGGTCTCCTCGGATCTCGTCCAGCTGCTTCTGCAACATCTCGAGCCGGTTCTCCCTTTCCTTTCCATTCTTCACACCGCTGGTCTTGTTAAGGCTCCTCAGCATCTTGCTCGCCTCCTCCAACACCTTGGTGACTGGGCTGGCCGCTGTCTCCTCTACTACCACCTCTTTCTTTTTCTTGTCCTTGTCACTCTCCTGGTCCACCACCGTCTGAGTTTCTCCCGTTCCTCTTGTCTCCTCAGCCTTTAATGGCTTCACCGCCGGTGCCGTTGTTCGATCTCCTCCTCCAGGCTTGGAGACCTTGCGCGGGCAATCCTTCCGCGTGTGTTCTGTTGAACCGCAGTCCCAACAGCGTCCTCGAGCCGTCCGTCGGATGCAGCCAATCACATCCTCGACCTCGCCGGCAGACGCTGTCAGACATGTAGAACCTGCAGGGAGTTTTCCCCTTGGCTCCTCCTTTCCCGTCGCCCTTACCTTCTTTGCCTTCCCTTTTCCTTCTTTTCCTTCGCGGCCTTCTTTGGACTCCTCCAGCTTCCGGACCTTGGTGTCTCCTCCTGCCGGGCTGGTCTTCGCCGGAGCCTTCTTTTCACTCAAAAAGGCCGTCTGCTCAAGCTCCGCCAGCAAATGTTCCGCGTACTGCAGCACCGTCGCATGGGTCGGAACCGAGTCCACCTGCAGTGTACTCCTTGCCAATGAAACTCGAAAAGTCAACTCCCGGTTCGCTTCCAAGACCTTCTTTGTGAGCTTCGTCAGGCCTCGCATCAAGATACTCGAGTCCGGCAGGGTCAACCCAACGTCTCCTGCACGTCGCCGCCATCTGACCCACCGTCTCAAACCCTTCACCGCCTCCGACACTGACTGAGCTTCGCCCGGCTCCTCCAAGTTCTTCAAAACCACAGCCTTCTCTGCCAATCCTCCCGGCTGATAAGCGATCATCAGTTTGCACAGAACCGCAAACGTCGTGACGGCCTGCGACGAGATCAGCTCATCTCGGATTCCTTCCGGCACCGCCTGGATCAGCATCGACACGGCTCTTCTTTCTACCCGACTCCACTTCTTCATCTTCAAGGATGTAGGGGTCTCCGGGATCATGTTCATCCGCTTGATGGGGACCTCCTGCAAGTAGCGGGCATACCATTCCTTTGCCTCGGCAAGGAGCGGCTCTATGATGATCATCCAGTCACCCAGATCGATGGGGCCTGACTCCGCCGTGGGTTCACCCAGCTTTGGCAGCTCGGTGATACCGGGGCGAACCACCTCCACCGTCTCCTGGTTTCCTTTCCCGTCACCACCCATCAACTGCTTTTGCATAGCCTGCATCCCCTCCAGCAGCTTCAGAATGACGTCCATCTGTTTCCCGTTCTTTCCACTGCCCGCCACCGATGCCGGCCTTAGCTCTGAAGACGATTCATCATCATCTTCAGGTTCACCTCCATTGCTTTTGCCGTTGGCCACGTCCGGGTTCATGCCCTGGTCACGCACATTCTGGCCATAGCTCACGTCCACGTTACTTCCCATTACCTCCATGGGCTTCCGGCTGTTGTCCCCGCTCTTCTTGTCCTCAATGCTCAGCACCTTGCTCTTGTCCCGACTATCCGGGGTGCCGTAGCTTTCTTCCACCGCCTTGCCGTTCTTTAGGCTCTCAATCTCCCTCATCAGGCACTGGTTCTGCGCCATGAGCTCGTTCACCAGCCGCATCACGTACTCCTGGTTCTCCACATGCATTCCTGCCGCCGGTGACATCCCTGTCGTAGCGCCCGCCAGCTCCATACCCGCCTCCATAGGTTCAGGTAGATGCCGAGGTCTTTCTTGGTCCATCCGCGTTCCGTGGATCAAAGGGGCCTCTCTCCGTCAGGGTCTCCATCTGGGCCTCATTGAACAAGGGTTCCAGAGCCACAGGATCACTACGTGGCCCACCTGCCCATTGTTCTTCTCCATCTCCCTTGCCTTCTCGACCGCGGGAACCTTCTTGAAGGGCCGTTCTCCCCTGGCGTGTCGAGCTCCTTCGCGGACCTCTTCCCACCGGAGTTCCCCTTGCCCTTGGCGCCCACCGGCACCAACTCCTGGCCGATCAGCTCCGTGCTCACCTCCGCCTCTTCTGGTTCTTGCCGTCCGAGGTCTCCCGGAGATGCCATGGCTTCACCGCGTCCTCCTTGGGCTCATAACCTGTAAACCCAGGTTTCAGCTACGCGCCTTTTTCTTGAACACAAACGGCTTCCAGATGTTCCTAGAATATTATTTCACCTGCCTGAAATAATATGATTGGGGGGCCATTCCCCACATAAATAAACCAATTGGGGTGAATTCGGTCCTGTGAGGTCGTCATAATTCACCCAGAGGTTTGTCCTGGCCCTGGTGAAACCGCGGGGCCCGTTTCCACAAGACCCGTAGGTGGCCTGGGGGCCTTTTGTTGCCTTTTTGACACCTAGTTTCTTCTGAAAGAACGGGTTTTAGGGTTTAGGGCTTAGGGTGTCGGGTTAGGGTTTTTGGTTTGGGGTTTAGGGTTAGGATTTAGGATTTAGGGTTTCGGGTTTTGGGTTTCGGGTTAGGGTTTTTGGTTTAGGGTTTAGGGTTAGGATTTAGGGTTTAGGGTTTAGGGGTTAGGGTGCCGCTGCCCCAATATGGAGTCACTCTGGGACAATGCTTGGTCTCCTTTGGGCTGCAATTGGCTTTGGGCCCGCTCAGTCACGGGGACTCTTTGTGCCCAAGCCAGCTATGGAATAAGGGAAGGGGGGTGGTTGAACGGGCAGTTCGCTAAGGAACCCTAGGGAACCCTAGGGAACCCTAAGGCGCCCTAATGCACAACTTTCAAACCATAACGTTTGATGTTTTTCATCATTTCGTAAGGCTTCTGAACGGTTGTGCGAGAAGCGGATTTCGTTCCTAAGCTACCCCCCCCCCTTCCCTGCTGCCTACATATAAAATCCAAGGGGGGGGGGTTCCCCACAAAACCTTAAGGCTCCCGCAAAAAACCTACGGCTCCCTAACCCCCCCCCCCCGGTACCTGGTTGATGAAAAGGTCCTTGACCATTGGTTGGAAAACCACCAAAAAAGATGTTATATTTCAACCACAAAATGGTTCAAGTTACCCTTGGTCAAAACTGGTGGGGCCGAAGGGAATAGGGCCATGAAACCTCAAAACTGATTGGTGGACACGAATCCCCACCGAACTCTGTCCACCAAAGGGTCCCTTTTTACAATTCATACCCATATTCATCAATTTTTTAACCGGGGTCACTATTTTGACAATTTCTGGGAATTGTTCAAAGTCAGAAAGTGTGGTGGTTTCCCTTTAATTCATTACTTGGGTGACTTTGATGGTAAAAGAAGGCCAGCCCAACCTACCTCCCAGAGAGTGTTTTTGTGCCAAAGCCCGAAGCCCAGGCGCAGTCCAATGCGGTGCTGGGGTCCACCGTAGCAGGGGGCGCGAAGCAAACGCACCGGACGCTCCTCGGTCCGATCACTTCCCAAAAGGGCCTAATGTTGACCCAGGATTAATAATTCCGTCCCATCATGATTAGAGTTAGGCCCAGTTATAGAACGTACTGGTAAAATGTAAAAGTATCCTAAGTCTACCCTCGCCATTCATCAGGAATGATTCCCTCCAAAAGGGATGACTCCCCACTGAAAGGAATTGGACACCCCCCGATCAAAATCAACCAGGGGTTGCCCTTCATGGGGGCTGGGGGGGAGGGAGGGGGAGGGGGGAGGGAGCCCAAATAAGCCTTATTAAGCCCTTAATAAGGCCTTATTTGGGGCATATTTGGGCTCCCTCCCCCCTCCCTCCCCCCCAGCCCCCATGAAACCGGGTTTATTGATCCGGGGTTGCATAGGGCTTCACCTTCCCGGAGCCAGATGCGATCGATCCCCTGAATTTTGTTCGAGTCAAAGTGGATGGTTGCGACAAATTTACAAAAACCGCCACCACGAAAGGACAAAAAAAGGTTGCAACCATGAGGCTCGGTGGGATTTTTTTGCGTAACCGCACCAGAAACCGGGGTTTCTTAGGTGGTGAAGGATTTAGTCCGTCCACAGTAGGTATGAAAAAGGACATTTGGATATGTCCTTCTGGTTGTCCTTCTGGTTTGCCTGAAAATCAACCAAAAGGGCTACTCGCAACAAAAGACGAGCCACCCCTCTGGGTTTGAATTTTATGTTGTGCGGCTCCTTTGGATATCAAAAGGTTTAAATTTAGGTCCAACCACTCGGGGTTCGCATTCCATGGTACCCAGAAGGTCCACCCGCTACCCCATAGCCCCTCGAGTTGCTGAGAACATATTCACCTATTTCCCGGTAGTGAACTCGAGTCCCGTAGTGAAACCAATGGGAACACAAAAAAAGAGAATCTGAAACGCACAGCTACCGTGCTCTTACAGAAATGAAATCCTGGTAGCTCCTTATCTGCCTCTTTACAAGCAACTTTGGATACCCCCTTCCAACCACCAGCTAGAAACGGGAGGTTCATGGTGGGTGCAAGGGAAACCTGCCAGCCCCAAGAGTCATTTCTTGTGCCTGGTGAGAGGTCCGTCCGGGGGCTGCTTGGGTGTTCGGCAAGTTGTGGGTAACCTCCGTGGAGAAAATGTTTGAAACCAAAGGAATATAAACAAATATTCGAAAGCAAATGGAAGGTAACCAAAGCGTTTTCTGCTTATAAGTGGAGTTAGCCCTGGTGGTTTATTCATAACCCTGGTGGGTGTGTCGTTCTTTGAGGGAACCACTTGCTTGGTGGTGTTAAAGGGAAGCCACAAGTTGAACACCGCTGCGCCATTCATTTTGGTGTTTCCCTAAAGGAAGGCACACCCGTTTACCTGTAGCAGGTCACCAAGAGAAGCGCCCGCAATAAAACACAAAAGGACAATAGTTACCTAGGGTAACTGGGATCGGGAGTTGTTGAAATCGTCCATTTGCGTTTCCCCCTTCAAGGAAAAATAAGCTCAGGTGATATCCCCAACAGCATGCGGTGCTCGCACCACCCCCTCGTAAAACCCTGGTAAAACCCTGGTGAAACCTTGGTGGAACCCTTGGTGGAACCCTCATGGAACCCTCATGGAACCCTCGTGGAACCTTACCTCAGGGCCACCCCGACCACCCCGGAGCCTATCTGGGCTGAGACCCCAAAGCTTTCAGCTGTTGGGAGAAAAACAAAAACAAACCAGTGGTGAAATCGATTCCCTGAAAACCAGAAAGAGAAAACCAAAAAAAACACTTCAGCAAATGGAAGAGATTGAAACCTTCCCTGTTTTGCCCGGAAGGTGAGTAGGTAAAAAAGAAATACGTGCCCACATGAGAGTTCTTTGATCATAAGATATTGTAGTTTCATAGCACCCCGCAAACCCTTTCCAATTTCTTACAGGACCTTGCCAAAATCCCTCTCCTCCCAACCTCCCCGCGAACCTCCCACCCTAAGTCCCTACCTCCCCTACCCCCCCTTCCCCCGCCATGCTCTTTGCCCGGAAGGTGAGTTAACCTCCCTCTCTACTTTCCCCCCCTCTAACAACTCACTTCACCAACACCCAAAACGGGAAAAAACAAATTCACTTTGCGGGTTTCAAAGGGTGATGCGCCAAACCAAAGAAAGGGGAATCTACCCCACCTTTGTGGCAAGGGTGGTGTTTCAAACCAAAGAAGAGAAAACCTACGGGGAATTTACCCCACTCAGTGGCTTCTCCCGAGTGCGTCGCCCTCCCTCCCCCTTTCTCGCTCGCTCGCCGCGGCTCAATCCGCCGCCGTGGCTGCGCAGCTGCACGGCGCAGCTCGCGGCCACCGCCGCGCCCAGGGAGTGGCCCACCAGCACCACCTCGTAGCCCCGCCTCAGCGCCGCCCCAGCGCCGCCCGAGGCAACGCCGGCGGCGCCGGCGGCCCGGCGTCCCCCGGATTCCCCAAATCGGTCGGCGGACAAGGCCGAGGAGAAGCGCCGAAGAAATGTGGGCAACCCCCTGGGCGCGGAAAAAAAATTAAAAACAAATAAAATAACGAAGCTCTCGCGAAAGACGCGGAAAAGACATCTCTCTGATTCGAAGTCTCGAAAATCGGTTGGTGGAAGAAAAGAATAAATGAATAAAACTTAAAAGAAAAGAAAAGCTGGCTACTTGGGCGCTGGGCCAAGTGAAGTGGACACCCTTTTCTACTTTCGGCGTGTGGTCATATACCCTGTAAGTTATAAGCCACAAGGCCAACTCCACAAGTTCCAAAAAGGCAACCCTGAGCCTCGAAATGTGGTAAACCTGATATTCTCTCAAACCACGATTGCCCCTCTGAAGGACCGCAAAATGTGTTTCTTTCTTCTTGGGAACCTCAAGGTTTGGTGTGCCTCGAAGGTGTTGCTTTCCTTGGAGCAGTGGTTCGGCTCTGTACTTGGGAAGATCTGTTCAGGCCTCTCTAGATGCGTGTGGGTCAAAACAAGTACCCAAAATCGAATCCTGCCAAACGGAAAGAAAGACAGCCGACGTCCCATGAATTGAGTTTGACTCATACCCATATTTCCTCACACGGACTAGCACCTACACCTGGCACTGAGAAAGAGAAAAAGAGAAACTCAACAAATCCAAGGTGTCTCAGGGACTAAGGGCCACTTGGCCCCGAGTCAGCTCTATCAGAAGCTTCTAAGAACTTCAATCCTTAGGCTCACCCGACCGAGGTCACGTTTCAAATAAGCCACTCCAGGTTTCCGGGGTGTCTCCCAAATTGGAACCCGAAAATTTGGGGGGGTCGATCAATTTTCCTGGCCCCCACATGGCCGCGGGAACCAAACGAGCTTAAACCATGGAACAACAACATTTAACCTATAATCCCCAACCCCGAACCCCTTTCTTCTATTTCTCCGCCCAACCGTTCTTTCCTTTGCGAAAATGAGCCCTTTCCTGGGCCAAAAAGATTCCGGCTAGTTGCCCACCAAAATGATTAACTCTTAACAAGCGCTTCAATCCATGAACTCTCTTGGCCCCCCCCACACCTCCCCACCTTTTCCCATTCCCCCCCCCTGCTATCCTCCCCCCTTTTTTCCCCCGCACCCCCCCCCACCTCTCGCGGCCCTTGGGTCCCAGTGACTCTTCCAGGAACCGCAGGGCCTCCCCGTACTCCCGCACCAGCCACTCCGCCGCCACCGCGGCGCCGCGGTGCGCGAGGCCGCCGGAGCCCAGGCTCTGCCCGTCGCACCTTAAAAAAACCGAAAGCATGGCGAAGGGTTCTTCCGTTGGATTCATGGGTATCATCACGAGAGTCATTGCACAGAGTCATCATCATCATGAAAGTCATTGCAGAGAGTTATCATCATTGCACAGAATCCTCATCATCATCAGGGTCATTGCAATCAGAGTCTTTGCAAAGAGTTATCCTCTTCAAAGTCATTAAAGAGTTATCATCATCAGAGTCATTGCACAAAGTCATCATCATCAGAACCACTGCAAAGAGTCATCATCATCAGAGTCATTGTCATTGCACAGAGTCATAGCAGAGAGTCACTTGCGAGGAGCAATGCTCGTGAGAGTGACTGGCGAGGAGCAATGCTCATGAGAGTCACTTGCGAGGAGCAATGCTCGTGAGATTCACTGGTGAGGAGCAATGCTCATGAGAGTTCTCACTCATGATGAGTTTTAGCTTCCTTTCTTCTCGTCTTACGGCGGCGGGGTAGGGCCGACAGCACTCTACGAAAATCAACAGATTCGTGGTCGACGTCAAAAAACTGCGGACTTTTTACGATTTCTGATCTGTGCGAGCGACCCTCTGCGGAGATTCGTGTGGTCGGTGCGGCGCGCACGCAACCTGCGGAGATTCGTGCGGTCGAGGTCAAAAAACTGGGGACTTTTTGCGATTTTGACATTCCAGGATCAACCCTCTGCGGGGATCGGCGTGGTTGATGTGCAAAAACTGTGGGTTTTTTCGATTCTGAATATGCTCGCGCGACCCTCTGCGAGGATCGTGCGTGTCGAAGCGCTCTCGCTGTGGCGCCGTGCGAATTTGTTGCTTGCGAGGTGGTCTTTGGAAGTTGTCGCGTGGTTTGCGCGGCTGCTCTCGGACGCGGGGTCGATCCCCGCCTGGTCCGCGGAAGCTTTTAGACAGAAATCGCAACTTTTAAGTGCAAACGTAGTACGTGGATGCAGGCTGGAAAATCGCAACTTTTAAGTACAACTGTAGTACGCGGAGTACAGTCCTGCAGCTCCGGCTGCACAATGGAACTTTTCAATCAGAAAACTAGTATGCGAAGTACTTCCCGAAAGCTCCGGCAGCACTTGCGCAGAGCAACTTGCACAGAGCGCCGCCGCTTGCGCAGAGCAACCTGCGCGCAGCAAATTGCACAGAGCACTTGCACGTAGCAGCTAGCGCAGGGCAACTTGGGCAGACCAAAAGTCAGGTGTTCCGTTGGGAGAATTACTATGATGAGAGTCATTGCACAGAGTCATCATGACAGCCATTGCGTAGGGCCATCGCACAAGAGTCATTGAACGGCGTCATCACGAGAGTGATCGCACAGAGTTATTATGAGAGTCATTGCCCAGAATCATCATGAGAGTCCTTGCACAGAATCATCATGAGAGTCATTGCACAGAGTCATCATAAGAGTCATTGCACAGAAGCATCATGAGAGTCATTGCACAGAGTCATCACAGCCATTGCGTATTGCACAGAGTCATCATGACAGCCATTGCATAGAGTCATCACACACGAGTCATTCAACGGAGTCATCACGAGAGTGGTTGCACAGAGTCATGATGAGAGTCATTGCGCACAGAGTCATCATGACATCATGAGAGTCATTGCACAGAGTCATCATGACATCATGAGAGTCGTTGCACAGAGTCATCATGACAGCCATTGCATAGAGTCCGAGAGTCATTGCGCAGAGTCATCGTGAGAGTCATTGCACAGAATCATCAAAAGAGTCATTGCACAGAATCATCAAAAGAGTCATTGCACAGAATCATCATGAGCGTCATTGCACAGAGTCATCATGAGAGGGCGGTATATGTGTCATCTTTGACGTGCTTGGCAAACTTGTGTGAGGGGGGTCCGATGGGTGGCAAGATCGCAGGAAGTTGCTCGTGACCACATCGAGCAAAAAACTTGCGCGGGAATGATCGCCGGGCTGTGATGCTTTCGGGCCCGCCGTGGTCTAGTTTCTCTTTTTTCTTATTTTCTCCTCTGTTTTTTGGGGGTGGGTAAATGATGGGGGTCGGGGAATATGACGGAGAGGGTGGTCAAAGGAACGAAGGAGGGGGGTCCAAAAGAATGATAGAAGGGAGCCCTTATCCAGCAATAGGTAGGGAATACAACAAGTTCGGGTGTTGGGAACCGCTTTTGGGGATTTCAACATAAACGAAATGGATGGTTTATAGGGGTCATTCATTCCCTCATTCCCTGCTGAGAATTAGCAAGTAAGTTATGGAATCCCACCAGGGGGAAGTGCCATCCGAGGGTGTTCTGCATGTTCAGGGCCTTGGTCCGAAATCTTTGTTGCTCCCGAATGAACATCTGAGGAAGTCAAGTGGCTAACCAGCAAGTTGTTAAGAAGCAGAATGATGGGTCTTGTGGGGCAGAGTGTTGGGCTAGGTCGGGATACGCAGGTCATGTTGAGCTATGCCCCATTTTGACTGACAATCACCTGTTTCACTCGAGGATTCTCTAAATCACCTGGTGAAGGTGGTTGTCAAAAATAGGCCAACGCATCCTTTAGCAGGACCCTTAAAGGATAAATTCTTAAACAAAAAAGCTTTACACAGGAAACTCCAAAACAGCTGGCATTCAGGTGATTTGTTCACTGGCCCACATGTCATGTATGTAGGCAACCCTGCAAACTAACATTAGAGTGGATCAAAACAAGGCAAACAAAAAATCGCGATTGTTATTTTTCTCTGGCCTCATGTTGAACCAATTCGAAACGGGACATGTGAACTTCGGACAAATCCGCAGGACCAGCAAGACAAGGCGGAAGACATGCCAGCCAGCAGGGGCGCAGGCAGTCCGTGAGGCAGTCCGCGAGAGTTTGGGTGCCACGGACAACCAGCACCACCTTGCCCGCCTCAGGTCATCTTGCTGGCAACGAGTCCGGCGTTTGGGCATGAACCGGTTTTGGGCCTTCCCAGAAAACGGAAACCAATAGGAAATGGGTGGTTTATAGGGCTGCTGAGAACCAGAAAATCATTCCAGGAAACGAACATCCCGTTGTCCATCGCCAGAACCCATTGCATTGGGGAACTGGTTTACACAAGATTCTGGAACATAGGTGGCATTCAAGAAGTCAGTGGCTCACAAAGTCCCGGACCCATCAACCCGCGCGGCAACGCGAAAGAACAAGGGGCGCAGCCTTTTCTTTAGCTCAAAGCCCACCCCTGTCGGGACGTATGTTGTACATGGTTTCTGGAAGAAACTTCACACGCCTAAAAAAAGGCACAAAGTGCCCTGATCTCATCCGATGCAGCGATTGCATTTTTCGAGGATTCGCCGCCTGCCTCTCACGTGACCACATCCAGGACGATGGAAGCAGTTTCCGTGCGGTGTCACCGCGAGCCGGCGAGGGGCTACGGTCACTTGCCGTTGCCGTTCCAGCTCATCTTCCAGCTCCCATCTGCGTAGACATTTCTCGCACGGCCCTCTTGGCCTTCAAACATGTCATCACCAAAAATGATGATTCCAACACTCAACTCATGGCCGCCGTAGAGGACATCGGTTCCGACCCGCTCACCCTCCTCACGTGACTGCACAGCAGAGGAACCACAATGCCCGGCAGCATGTTCTCTTGCACCTCCGGTCGTGCATCTGCTTCTCCAGGTTCCCCTGGCTCACACTCCGCATCGAGCTCCTCGATGTCTACATCATCCTGCTCCGGCAACTCCGGATGGAACACGTCCTGCGCCTCTCTGGAGATGCTGGGGTCGCGCACCTGAGCCTGCCGCAGCGTCTGCGCTATGCTGCCGAAGCCTGTGCGGGGATCCTCGTAGACGGCCTTGATGGTTCGTCTGCGGGCGTCAGCCATGTTTCTTATGGGTTCTTCGGCCCCCGCTGGGCCTGCCAGGCTTCCACCCTTTTTGTGGCGCATCTCAGCGACGAAGTTCCATGAGCCAGCGTCGCGTTCTTGTTGCCCTGCTCACTGGCCACTAAAAGTTCTTGCGTGTCCTTGATCTGCCGGTAGTTCTGGTTCATGGCACGCCTGAGTTTGGCGCCGCTGTCGGCGCAAATGAACGGCGTCTGAGCTGCCAGTCTCTTCTTCTGCACATTGGCAAACTCTCCAGCTGCGTCCAGGGCATCCACTGTTTGGGGAACCGGTGAGCGATTGCACTTGATTGGGACTCCTTCCAATCACCCACTGCGTTGGTGTGAATCCGCGCGTCATGCTCATCGCCTTCACCTGGCCCGGGACATAGATCGACGCCTGTAGCAGTCCCTTCTCGGTCTTGTTGTCCGCGCTCCATGAAGAGCTCCAATGCCCTGGATGACCTGGTGTTTTCTCTCCACCGCGCCAACTCCGCTTTTTGAACTCCGATTTGATCCAAGCCCGCTCGATGCGCTTGATGCCTCTGCATGCTTGGCCTTCAGGACGCACACCGCCACGTATCTCGTTGCTTGATCCAGGATGGTCAGCGTGCATTTTCGGCCCGTGTCAGCGTTGATCCACGCAGAGTCCACCAAGGAGCCGTCAGCCCATCAGCCCAGATGCGGGAGGTGCTCCACTAGGCTTGGTCCTTGCCACAGAGGAGTTTCTTCGCTGCCTGCAGAACCGTGTCGCCTGCACCTTGTTGGGCATCTGACAAAGCTCATCAGGGGCCCAACAGTTGAAGGCTTGCGGCCCAACTTCTGCTCAGCCGCCGATTCTTCTCGATCGACTCGCCTTTTGTCTTCTGAGCATCTGCCTGCTCATTGCCAGCATGGACCATGTCCTTGCGCTCGTCGACTTCATCTCCAGCCAGCATTTTATCTACCACCGGAACAGCAGCCATGAGGTCTGCCAGTTTCGCAAGCATCCGGAGATTGTTCAAAAACAGGTCGGCTTCTTGGAGTCATCAGGCGTCTTCAGACCGTACATGATCCACGTAGGCCATGTATCCAGACAGGTCGCGCCACGCCTTCTACTTCCACGCTCTGCTCAGCCAACGTTGCTTCACGAGCATTCTGGTACTGCTCCAAGAACACTTCTCTCATGAACATCAGAACATTCTTGTGGTTCTCGGTGCGGCTCTTGATCAGCTGCTAGTTCTCCCACTCGCCACGGCAGGCGTAGAGCTCTTGCATAGGCGACCATAAACGACACGTTGGCGCCATCAGAATCTCATCCAATTCTTCCCGCTGCGGCAACTCCATGAACTTCTTCTGGCAGTTCTTGTCTTTCAAGTTCCATCCATTCTGAATCGAGAAGACCCTCGATTCCACACCGTTCATCTTGTCCAGGAACTTGCTCGTGCGGCCCTCTCCAACAAAGAGCTCCCAGATCTTGCGGACCGGCTTGCCTTTCTCGCATGTCCTAGCCATCCGCAACATCTTGTTCCTGACCGACACAACGTCCTCGGCTTGCCTGATCATCTTCCGCAGCATAGGCGTAGTTAACTTCCTCATCTTGATCGATGAATTCTCGTCCGTGCACGCCCCAACGAACTTCGCACGCTTGGATTTCGCTTTCGTCTCCTTCTCGGTCCCGGAAATCTTCGATGACTCCAAGCCACCGGCATCAAGCCCAACAGCATCCTGTTGGCTCGGATCTTCGTACTCCTTCATCCACGACGTCGTCCGTCTCCATTGGAACATCCACATTGTTGACCTCCTCCACCAGCAGCGCCTGCACTCCAAGATTGCTGCGCCTTCAGCACCTTCGGGGATGAGGTCCTTCAGCTCCTTGATGTCCTCCGCGAGATGAAGTGAATGTTCACCTTTTGGCCCTGCCTTTATCGCATGCCAATCACGATCCTGCCATCTCATCAGGTTCTTGCCGTAATCCACTGCGATGCCCATCTTCTCTCCAACACAGGGCGCCCTGCCAGATTGGGGGCTGTTCCACCAATTGACGTAGACCAGCATCTTCCGTTTCTTTCCACCCATGTAGGCCGGCACCACCACGCAGGTCTTTGTCTGGCTGTTGCCATAGCGAAAGCCTTTCGTGCTTGGATACACTTCCACCTCCACCACATCGGCGCCCTTCTCCACCAGGTACTTCTTCACCTGGTGCTTTGATCTAAGGAGAGCACCTGCGCCATCTTGCACCACATTGTCTTCGCCTTCAGAATCTCCGTCATCCATGTTGCACACCTGGGGCCTCGGTCTCCATGTTCTCGACCGTGTTGACGTCCTCAGCATCATCGTCGAGCCGCTTCCGCTTCTCGCCGTTGCCACCTTGTGAGGACAATTCCGCGCCCAATGCCCAGGTTGACCGCATCGAAGGGCCTTTTCCAGAAGGCAAGCTCGGCCCTGGCTTTGGCATTTGCTTGAACCCTTTTCCACCTCCTGGTCCTGGTCGCTTAGGTCGGCCCTTGGACTTCTTTCCACCGCCCTTGCGTCCATCCTTCTTGCCAAAAAAAGAAAGAATCCTCTCGCCGTCCGCATCTGATTCATCCTGTTCGATCTTTGCATCCACGTAGGCTGAGTACACATCGTCATACTCGTCAACGTCGTAGGAGACTTCACGGCCTCTACCAGCCAGCTCCATCTTCAGCTTGTAGATTTCACATCTCTTTCTGCATTCGCGGTAGTCGTGCTGCTTGCCGCTGAAGATCGGCACATAGTTGTTCGCGCTGCTTGCCGCTGAAGATCGGCACATAATTAGTTGTCTGCCCGGCCGGTGTTCACCTCCGAAAAACCTTTTCCTCCACCTGAACCTTCTGCCTCCGGCATTCTGGTTCAGGATGGCCTTCGCGATCCGAATCTCGGGCTCTACCAACTTCAAGAAGTCCGTGGCTCACGAAGTCCCGGACCCATCAACCCGCGCAGCAACGCGAAAGAACAAGGGGCGCAGCCTTTTCTATAGCTCAAAGCCCGATGTATGTTATACATGGTTTCTGGAGGAGACTTCACAGCGGCCTTTTGGACAAATAGATGGCCCTGGTAAATGAAATGAAACCCATCTAAACCAGCGCCATCCATTCTTAAACAAACAAACCAAAAAGGACACCTAAGTTTAACACTGATGGGTCAGGCAATTCTTGAGCACCCATCAAATAATTACTTTAGCAACGCATGGCATAATACATTGCATTCTCAAATTGCACTTGTTGGGCAGGGCTTTCTGATTAGCATTTCGAAATTGCACTTGTTGGGGCAGGGTTTTCTGATTAGCATTTCGAAATTGCATTTCTTGGGGCAGGGTTTTCTGATTATCACTTTGAAACTGCATTTGTTGGAGCAGAGCGTTTTCAAGCTGCATTTGTTGTCAAACCAACATGGATTTACACACTGGTTGTGGGCGCGCCTGTTGTGAAACAACCCCTTGCGCAGGAACATTGATAAACACATTCGGCGTGGGTGAGACTTGTTAGTTAGCGAGGCTGACTTGTCAGCGTTGTCAGAGCGCGTTTTTTGGTTTCGGACAATCAAGTGACAAGAGCTTTGTTGAACATTTCCCTGGGCTTCTTCGCTGAACTTGACTGAGCAGATGATTGGCGGGGCAACTGTGTCGGATGTTGAGCATCTTGCCTATTTGAGAGTTTTGCGTGCTCATGTCGTTTCATCAACTGCTCCATCATGTCAACTTGTTCACTGATTTTGTGGCTTCCTGAACTGTTTGCTGAACTGTTTACGGCTTGCGGTGGTGACTGATAGAAGCGTGTCAACCAACAACTGAGATATGGAATAGCGGGGTGGATGGGCGCTGGGCGTGTCTGAGCATTTCTCAGGCGAGCTGGTCGGTTGAGTTCGGGAAACCAGGGGGGGATGTGGGATGTAAAAAGAGATATGCCGTTGCATCCGAGACATTCTGTCGCTGAGTTTCTGTGCTGAGATGTGCTAAGGACGAACTGGGGACTCGACTTAGGGACTTGAAATGCTACAAAACCCAGAGCTGAAAACGGGTATGAATGTTCATTGGAACCCTTTGCTGGACATCATTTATGTGGGGATGTATGTCCACCAGCCACTTTTCGGGGGGTTCCCTATTGAAATTCATAGCCCGACGGGAAGGAAAAGGAATTCATGACGAGATTTTGGGACGTGGCTTCTCGGACATCTCCAAGTCGCCCACCTAAACCTCCAACCAACCCACCCCAACCCCACTCAACCACGCACCCCCCAAGGTCTGGCTTTCTCTTTCGCTTTATCGTCTTTCGCTTTCTCTTTCTCTTTGTCTTTCTCTCTCTCTCTCTCTCACTCTCTCTCGTCGCCTCTCTCTTGATATTCAGGGGTCACTGAGTTTCCCTCGTACATGGAGGGCAAACTCATCGAACCCATCTATCTCTAACCAAACCAAGGCTACGAAGCATATCAAAACCAGCGGAACCCACAAAATTCCACTTTTCAAGGTCCAACGGCGAAATGGCTCGGGACCCCCACCCCACCCCCCACCCCCCACCTCCCCAAGCCCCCCCCCTCACCCCCAACCCCCCACCTCCCCAAACCCCCCACCCCCAACCCCCCCAACCCCCCACCCCAACCCCCCCAACCCCCTCCGCCCCCCCGCCCTCGACCGCCTCCGCGCTCTTCGCCAAGAAGTGCGCGGGGCGCTGGGGCCGCGCCGCGCAGCTCCCGGCCAGCAGCTCGAAGCCCGGCTCCAGCGCCCCACTCACCGAGGCCTCGGGGAACTCGGCACTTCCCCCCCCCCCTCCCCCAAAGGGGCGGCTTTTTGCTGGGGAACATATAGGGAAAGGGAAATATACGGAAACAAATAGGGAAATATAGGGAAACATATAGGGAAACCTATAGGGAAATATAGAAAATATAGGGCAAATGTCGGGAGCCACCAACAGTTGCGGGGATATGCTTTGGGTGGTGGCGAAATCGAAATGCAAGTCTCGCACCATGAAATGAATCCATGGTCGAGACCATGGTTGGTGTTGACGTTGGGGAAGCGAATCATTCCAGACTTTCTTGGGTGCGAAATGGTTTTCGTCCACCGACCCTACTTTTTTAGAACGTAACTAAGGTGAGTTTCCCTTGGGGGTGATGCTTGAAGAAGTATAGGGAACCCTTTTGGTGGGGGAAGAAGTTGGACCCAAAAAAGGATTCCCACGCCCTGACATACTGTACACTAGGTCCTCCAGTAGAGAGGTTAGAATAAGGGTGCCCTTTCTTTCGTAGTCTATTTTAGTAGCGAACCCTGCAAACCAAAAAGGGGGCTCCAAAGAGCACCTAGCTGGGGGGCCTCCCTGGCTTTGGGTCGCGATTTGGGCCATGGACGCCCCGGATCGATCCAGCCCCCCCAGATCGATGGATCGCTCCTCGTCGGGGAGATAGGCCGCATCGGCCAGGCGCGCATAGCGCAGCAGCTCTTCAAAGAAGAGCACGTCTCCTGGGAAAACCATACAATTCTAGGGGTTGATTCCAAAAACCACACACATGAGGGTACCTTTTGGTGGTTGTTTCTAGGTTTTAAAGGGAACCAAAGGCAAAAATCCATCAACTCCCAATTCTTTTCAACCATCAGGTGTTCTCCTTCGCCCTCCATTTGGCTGGTGGGTCAACACCTAGGCGAATTCACCACCCTATTTTAGTGGTTGGATTGGGATGTTCACTGGGGCTACGCTTCGGATTTTGAAAAGCCCATGGCCATTTGGATCTTCCTTCAGGAATCGGACCCCCAAACTGGCTGCGCTTCCTAAGCTCCCCAAAGGACCCGCCCACAAGACGGGGGTCGCTTCCGCAGCTTCGCCTTGATGCTTCAGCAGCTGAAAGTGATAGATGATGCTTCAAATCCAACAGGGGAAGCTTATACAAAAGAAATGGAAGTCCTAAGGGTTGATTGAAGTATCCCAGAGGGGAAGGTTAAACATCTTCTGAAAGAAATGGGAAGTCCTACAAACATTGATTGAAGTATCCCAGAAGAGAAGAGGGAAAGGTGCAGCCAGAATCATTGCAAATGTTGGGTCTCAACCTGCGGGCACCCCAAAACCGGCGGTGCTTCTCTTTTTTTCCCTTATCAAAGTCGCCCAGAACCGGAGGTCCGAACCCTGGGGGGAAGCAGGCGAACCTTAAAGCTGATGGTATGTTCATCCCCATCCAACCACTAAAATAGCTTCTAAAATGGGTGGTGAATTCACCTACTCCAAAATGGGATCCCAAAACGGTTTTGACCCAAAAAAAAGCCATGTCCCCTCACAACAAAACCACAAAAAACCTGTAGCTTCGGAGTCTGCCTGGTTTCTGAGGCACTCCACGCACACTTGGGCCAGCGCTGCTCTTGCAGGCCAACAGATTTGAATTGTTGGGCCCGTCTGCGAGCCGTGTGGCCATTGAAAGACAACCAAATGGAAACCAACCGGTTTGGGGACACCTTTAAAGTCATCGGGGACTCCAAGAATTGCTTAAGCCTCCTGGAAACAAATGAAAATATGTCCAAGAGTGATAGATTCCCCCCCAAAAAAAGAAAACACTGGAAAACCCAAATGTTCTTTTCAGCAAGTGGAAGAGTGGCCTCTTTGCACTCCCACGCACCTCAACCGCTCCTTTGAGGTCATGCACGGCCAGGCGGGAGCTGTTCACCTGCGCGAGAAAATGGGATCGGTCGATTGGGGAAAAAATCCACCAGGAACCCCCCAACTTTGCCGATATTTGCCATGGCTTTATGATTTTTCGTGTGGTGGAACAAGGGGAATGAAATACAACAACATACCGTAACTTTACTCTGGTTTTGTGGCTTTTCCGTGTGGTTGGTTTACTTGCAATATGCGATCAGGATGTCCGTGGAACATCCTTTAACTCCTTGGGAACGCGGCGGATTGGAACATGCTGCCAACCGGCATGGAGCCTAGGAATCGGTCCCTAGGCCCAGGAACCGGTTCCAAAAGTCGCTGGATTGATCAATATACTGGTGGTGCCCCTTTAAGCTACGTTCTCTTTGCAGGTTCCCTTAAAGGGGAAATGGGTGTGTCTCAAAATAGGGGAACCAGAAATTGATCGGGGTTCCTTTGGTGTCAGAGAACCCAAAACATGGTACCATCACAACAAAAGACACCACACCCAAATGGCGCGGAACCCCCCTGTCCTGTGCAGATTCCTTCAGTTTCTTTTCACAGGGGGAGACTGCTTCGACTCGGGCTCTGGTTGTCTTCCAAACCCATCAGCCGCGACAAATGAGTGTGGGTTTGGATGGCGCTCCAAGCAAAAGGGGAAGCAGACGATTTGTAGTCTCAAAAATCAAATGGGAAGGGCAACACAGAACATCAAATGGGCATGGGCTGGATTTGTCCAAGGGGAAGGGGATGTGCGACTTCCGGATTTGGTAACCATCAATAGTAGGCTGCGGCTTTGAGCCTTTGGCTCCTGCCAAGGTGCAAAGCGGTGGAGAGTCCGATTCTTTTTTGAGCAGGGCTGTGAGAAATGACCACTTCTGTGATATAACAGAAAGGGCTTGCCAAACACTAACCTCCCATATAAAGGGGGAGCTTCCCAAAAGTATCACAGAAGTGGTTGGAGAAACCCCGAGGATCCCACAACCCTGGTTTTTGAGCCGCCGAAAAGTTGCACAAGTCCACCCAAAAAAAAATCCTCCGCCTTTTGCCTCCAAAAGCTTTTCCAGGGATCCGCGGGTCTTGGGCCTCCCCTAGGGAGTGGTTTCCGGAGCGACTCCTTTGCCCGCGGCCGGTTGAAAGGGGCCAAGCCCAAAAAATCACAAACTACCGGGACGCATCAAGGATCATCAAGTTGCACAAGCTGGGAGGTGACTGGCCACTGGCCGGCAAGACAAAAGCGAAACAACCCCCCTGCCCAAGTTTGAGAGAGGCAACATATTCGTGGGACCCTGATTCATAGTGACACTTGCAAGGCCTGGCCCTGACTCTGCAGTTGGTCAAAACCAACGAATGGGCCTATGATCCATCAACAACCGAATGAAGCAAGCGGGTGTCAAATGACTTAGGAAAGTGCCTCCAATTTGTTGGGGGCCTCTCCAAATTGATATCTTTTTGTCTTCCACTTGAAACCATCCAGACGGTGTGTCCCATTTTGAGACAAGGCCGTACGAGGGATGTCGAACAAGAAAGGGCCGTAATCTTTGACCGTGGCGCCTTGATTTGTTCCTGCAAAGGAGGTTGCTACAGGGTCAAACGAAAACATGTTGTTTTTGTGTTTAGAACAACTACTACTACATGTTGCTTTGTTTGAGGGTACCCTGTTCGGCTTGGTTTAAAGCGATTTTGCAGGGACCTCCTTGTGTTGATGCATGACAACCATGGATGTCTAAAATCCCAAGAAACGGATGGATGACCATCCAGTGGGTTGTTTTTTTTGCAGGGAAACCCCCACAAGACCCACAGAACACATCAGGTTCCAACCCCCTCCCCACCTGGTCCTGCTTCCACTGGGGGGTGCGCAGCTCCTGCCATGCTTCTGGCATCTAAACAGACAACCCGATATTCCACACTCTCTACTGGAAAACCACGAAGGATATTCTTACCCGTAACATCCCGGAACCCAAGGTCAGGATCTTGCGGATTACCTTTGAACAACCCAGAAAAGCCTCTTGGACGATGCGGAGCTCCGGCGCGGGATTCAGGTCTCGAATCCACGGAAAATCAACCACACGAATGATTTGGCAGCCTCCGCTAAACCCCCAGCAGCCCTCAAAGCCGTTTTTTCCCATGTCCTGGCTGTTTCTGGGGTGGAAAATTCAAGTTCCCTCTTCCCTCTTCCCATGTCAAATGGATCCAGGAGCGTCTCAGAAAAGAATACGCCCAGGTGATGTCCCCAGCATGCGGCACCCTCGAACCTCGTGGAGCCCGAGAGCCCCACCCCCCTCCCTCCCTCCCCCTCCCCCCCCTCCCAACCCTCCCCTCTCCCCTCCCCAAAAAAAAACACGAAAATCGTCCAACCCACAACTTTTTCTCCCCCCCTCCCCCCTCACCTTTTCGGACCCCGACACCCAAAAAACCGGCGCCACACCCACCGTTTCGCCGGAGGCTCCCGCTTCGCCAGCACGCTGAAGAACACCGCCGCGGGGTCCAGCGCTCCGAGCCGCAGATGCCCGAAGTGGGCCTGCAGCACCTCCCAAGGCGACGGCTCGAGGGAGGCGACGGCTCGAGGGAGGCGACGGCTCGAGGGAGGCGACGGCTCGAGGGGCTCCGGGCTCGCGGGTCGGTGCGCTTTTGGAGAAATGCTCAAAAAAGGTTGGGTTTATAGGGTGTCTAAGGTTTGTAAGCTTTGCAGGGTTTATGGGTTTATAGGGTTTCTAGGAGGGCAAGGCAGGGAAGGGACCATGTTCAGCGACAATGATGTTTCAACTATAGCTAACATCCAAGTGCCGTTTGATTCACATGTGCAGCGCGATGTTTGACCGAAGAGTCACCCACTTCGGAAGTTCACCCACGAAAGGTGCTCGTTGTCGCAGTTGGCTCATGCAAATCGTTCCCTTCAGCGGGTTTAGGTTTGGCCCCATGTAGCTCTTTCCAGATCCTTGTGGCAAGTGAGAATTGTATTTTCATTCGCAGCCTGTCTGATTCGAGCTTGCAGCGTGCTTGGAGTTTGAGCTTCGACAACCCGAACGAACGCCTCCCCTCGGAGATCCAAAGACCAGAAGCGCGCAACGCGCTTCGCTTCCTCCAGAAACCGCTTGATTCAAGAAGCATCCCACAACCATCAGTGCAGCAGGGTTCCTATCTCAGATGCCCAGTGGCCATAGGAAAATGGGGCATCCTTCTTTTGGTTGGTTGACTTTAAAGGGACACCCTTCCCCAAAAAGAGTTGGGAGAAAGAAAAAAAGGGCGCCACCACGCAACTGGGCCCCTTTAACGCCCCATGGCCAAAAGATTGGTACCCATCTCGCGAAAATCTCAAGGGTTTATCCGTTTATCCCAAACCTTCCAAGCGAATTTGTCCATGAAGGGATTCTCCCATTCCCAAACCTCCATATGGCCATGGGTCAAAATCCAAATCGTACCCCCAGTGAACATTCCAATCCAACCACTAAAATAGGTTCTAAAGTGGGTGGTGCACCGAAAACCCCCAAAATGGAATCCTATTGGTTTTGACCCACACCCATATCGCCCCGCTTCCTTCTCCCAAACCTTCAAGGGCTCGGGGCAAAGCGTCCACCGCGTTTCCCATTTGATCGAGGCTGACCAGCCTTCAGCTTCCCTCCGGTTGGGTTAGAGCCCGGTTTGGTCAAGTGGGTTTCCAAATCAGCCCTCCGCAAAAGCAAGGGCCGTTTCACATCCAGCACGACATTGGTGGCTTGGATTTGAGGAGACTGGCTTTTGTTGGTACATGGGCAAGCAACTCACCTCCAAGCGACAAATCCAACCCACCAATTAGGTGTGCCTTTTTTTAGGGAGCCCCCCACAACGGAGGTTTTCCTCTTGGCTTTCTTTTAAACTAATCCAAAAAGGGGTGCCCTCAAAAACACACACACACACACACACACACACACACACACACACACACACACACACACACACACACACACACACACACACACACACACACACACACACACACACACACACACACACACACACACACACACACACACACACACACACACACACACACACACACACACACACACACACACACACACACACACACACACACACACACACACACACACACACACACACACACACACACACACACACACACACACACACACACACACACACACACACACACACACACACGCACGCACGCACGCACGCACGCACGCACGCACGCACGCACGCACACGCACGCACGCACGCACGCACGCACGCACGCACGCACGCACGCACGCACGCACGCACGCACGCACGCACGCACGCACGCACACGCACGCACGCACGCACGCACGCACGCACGCACGCACGCACGCACGCACGCACGCACGCACGCACGCACGCACGCACGCACGCACGCACGCACCCACACACACACACACACTTAAACTCCAGATGGAGAGTGCTAATCTTTCGAGTACAACTGATGAGTTTCGAGTACAACTGATGAGTCTCGAGTACAACTGATGAGTCTCGAGTGGGTAAAAGTTCGGCTTGCAGTCACTTGGTTTCCGTCTAGCTGCGAAAACGTTACAAGGTTCAACATGAAGCACACACAACGAGAAAACAACGGGCCAAGAGGACTTTGAATCACACGAGTTGCGCAGGTACGCGGAGTTGATCAGACTCCGTATCCTAGGAGCTTGCAAAGAGCTTCGTTGGGCAGAGCTTTGCAAGTCCTCTCTGCCCCCCTGCTGAGAAACCGAAAGGGTGGTGACAGGGCATTCTGTCACTCCGCACACACACGCCCCTCAATGAGGGGCGAGGAGTCTCCTTTTTCTGCAGGAAGATCACATGTTCAACTCCGTGTCCCTATCGTTGACCAAAAATTCCACCGCGGCGAGGGGAACGAGAAACAGCCCTAAACCGCTCAGAAGACGGGAACGAGAGATCACCACGTTGAGCATTACGAGGGTCGCCATAGAGGACTGAAGCGAGTTGTGAAGCAGCCTGGCGATCACCATGAGAAAACGGAGTGGCATAGGTGAACGTCTCCTCAACTGGAATGGCATCGGAATTCCGAACTTGACCAAGAGATTGATCACGCGAATGATGAGTTGTGAAGGACTCCATTCGAGACAGAATGCGCTGGTATCCCTGATGCTGCCAGTCGCGGATGTTCCATGCCTGACCGTGCTCACCAGTGCACCCATTGGGATCAGTCACCCGCTGCCATTCCCGAAAAGAATTGTCTGGTAGATCAGGTACAGTTTCTCCGCGGTGCCATCGCTGAGGCTGTCCTGGAGTGTAGATCCGCACCCACTCCTGATCCTGCCAGACCGAGTATTCGAGCCATGGGTGCAGCTTCGAATCATCGATGTCCATGTCGAAGTAAGAGGCAAGGCGTATCGCGGGTTCCGATCCAGCTGATAGAGAAACAAACACCATGCACAACCATGTACAAGCAACAACCAAGCAATGTAATGCAAGTGTGAAAACCACCCTTATTTTGTACGCTACCACACTCGCGTGCGTCTAGTCCTCATTTAGCTCGAAGATAGGTCTCGCCTTGTCTTTGCCGCTGTCGGAAGGATTAACAGGCCGGTATGGTTCGGAGACCCCAACCGTCTCCGATGGTGTGATTCCACGTGATGCACGTACAGGTTGATGAAGTTGGGAAGCTTGACGTGCGCGAGCTGTCAGTTGTTGAGAAATCCCCTCTTGGAGACGAGTCAGTTCTTCGGTAGAGAAATCCGCCGCATCCGAGGATCTAAGGATCGCTTCTAACATCTGCGGTGACATACTCAATGCCGCGGATTGCGTGGCCACGCTGTGATGATCAGGAAAAGACATAGAATCATAGTCATGACCAGCTTGAGGGGCAGCGACTCTCCGATAGCCCTCTGTGGCCCAGTCTCTTCTGTACCACATGGTGACATTGAGCTGCTCACCGTCTTGGTCCGGGTTGGGAGCATAGAACTCCCTCCACTCTCTATACGTGTGGGGTGGAGGTGGAGCATCATGTTCTTCATGTGGAGTCCATGATCCCGGATGAAAGATCTTGACCCACTGGGCATCTGGTTGTTGAGGATCCGGACACCATTCCAGCCACGGCATGACAACGCAAACCCGGAAAGACAAATTGGTAGGTGTACGGCTGCAGACAACAATTACAGCAAAAGACACAACAACAACCACGCAAGCAATCACTTTTGCAGCAATGCACGGCTCAGGTGTTGAAGTCCATCTCCTGAATCGAATTGAATTGAATTGAATAAACTCCCCAGGAAGACGAGAACGAGCATCAGCCACCATCTGAATTTGAAGATGCCGACGAAGAGGTCAGTCCAGCGTACATGAGGTCCGGTGCGCCCGAAGCGAAAACTGGACGCGCAATGCTAGGGCGTGGACGACCCAGCCGTTGATATCCTCTGGTGGACCAGTCCCGATAATGCCAAGTATAGAAGGATGCATAAGAGACCGGCTGAGAAACAGCACCCATATTGGTGCCGCCCGTGCTCTCCCTCGGCCAATACACTTCGAAGTGGTATACTTTGCGCCACTCCCGATAGGTGGTTGAGTCCTCCGGGGCTGGTCCCAAGGTGTTTTCGGCGACTGGATGCCACGGACCCGGTACGTAGATCCGAATCCATTCTACTCTTGTGTTCTCGGGGCCATTGACGATGTCGTAGTCAAAGTAGCGAGGCAGGACCCATCGTGCTGTGCCATACACTGTACAATTGAACATTTCAACCAGGTAAGCCGCTCGAAGTCATAAAGGAAAGCGGCGAACACATGGAGACGGAACGCACAACACCAAGCAAGACAACCCAACATGGAATCGCATACAAAGCAAGCACAACCGTGTCATTTTATCCGACATGTTGCTCAAGTGTCACTCCGAATCGTTCCAAGGATCATAGAATGGTGGTGGTGACGGCTCTCGCCACGCCCCATCCGGAACCGATGAGCCCCCCGAGGAATTGGCGTCTGCATTCACGAGCATCGCGAATCCAATGGCTGGTAAAGGAGCTCCAAGTCGTTGATACCCTCGTGTTTGCCAGTCTCGGTACTCCCACACGTGGTAGGACACATACGAACTGGGCGTGACTATGGGATCCGTTGTTGTGCCTCCGGTGCTGTCTTCGGACCAGTACACTTGGAAGCGATATGACCTGCGCCACTCCCGATACGTGGAAGCGTAGAGTGGGTCTAGCACTGGAGCATCATCGGGAACGGGTCGCCACATGCCCGGTGAGTAAATTCGAATCCATTCCACTCCTCTGTCGATCTGGTACTCGAAATATTGAGGGTTCATAGCGGCAAGACAGGCTCTCGCGCGGCCGCTAAAAGCAATCGAAAATCTGCGGCGAAGACACCCATGCAATGACAACCGCGCACAGCTGAAGGAATGCAAGGCAACTTTTCAAACTCAAGGTGAGACACAGCAGCGAGGTTTGTAATATACGACACCTAAGCTTCACCGCCATTGATGCCGCGCACACCTGCAATGGTAATGTCCTGGTCGTCTACGATCACAAGGGGAAAGACATTTCCGCCCATGGCGCAGGATGG